CTTTAACGGTGAAGCTCTTGGCGAAGCTGTATATCAACTGCAATATGTTTTACTCTTCTCGTCTCTCGTCGGAAGAGAAAATATATTTTTTTAAATGCTATAAGCAAACTTTTAAAAAGAAATATTTATGAATTATTTACATTCTAAAAAAATTATAATATGATCAAAATAATCACATTTGATGATCGGCATCAAGCAGAAGCATTTGAAGGGAATAATATTAGTTTTGACCACTTTTTGTGTTTTTTTTTCTTGAGGTTGCGTCTACGGAAGCCTTTAAGAAAATTTGATGTAGATTTCAACTCATTTCAACAGATTTATTATTAACCCATATATTTCCATTGCTCTAAAATTTGGCAGTGTATTTTTCTGTGAATGCTTCATCTCTTGGAACGAATGTTATGTATGCTACAGTGTTGTGTTGTCAACAAAGAATGTGAATACGTTCACTGATTTATTCTACAGCATTTTTCAATATTCTCGGATATCTTCGTCAATTATCTGAATTTGAACATCGCTTCATGTCGCTTCGTGAATCATAAATACAGTACTTAAATTTATGATAATTTTAATCGTGTATTTAAAATAACTCAATCCTCCGAAACGTATATTTGAAATGTATTGTAAATAAAAAATGTTAATATCTTATTATTCTAGCGGCAAATGCCAATAAAATAGTGACGCCCATTAGAGGGCAATGGGAATGAGAGGGTACGGGTTTTTATATCGCTTATTAGCAAGTATATTTTTGACATTTGAGTAAACATCAATATTGCATAGTGTGAATGCGTATTATATCCAAATGTTTAGATAGTTTTTTCTCATATATTACTTTTGTTTGTCTTATTATTTTCATATTATCCATAAAAGAAATAATAAGATTATTACAAGGTGTTGATTTCACAGAGGCATAAGTTTGTATATCTGCTCTTGAAAACCATCTTAGTGATGAAGACAGTGGTGAAGATGACCCAGAAAATGCTGATGTAATCATTTGACTGGAAACCAGCTACGAGGCCAAGGAGAACTGCAAGCGACAAAGATTACTTCCTTTGTCATAGATGAAATTATTCTACCATCTGAAGCATTTGCACTTAATGTATAAGGTAATCTCGTCTAAATTGAGAACAAGGGCAAAGCATACTTGAGGTCAAAACTGGGTGAAAAAAGGACTTCGTATCTCTCGAAGTACGTACTTGACAACAGCTAGATTGGCTGCAAACGTAATAGTCACCTCTTGATCTTTTTGAATTTATTTTACGATTGATAAGTTTTGAATTTTCTAGTTAACATGAACAGGAATATGCTTTTTTTAAAGGGAACTCTTTGGATGTGTCGCATCGTGAAATGATAATTTTTATTGCATTTTTGTTGCTCAGTGTGTATTACGGTAATAGTAGGAACCGTCTTGTCTGCGATACTGGAATTGACATACTACTTCATCCAGAAGTAGCAAGAGAAATATCAAAAAAGAAATTTGAATAACTTCTTAGATATTTCAATATATCTAACAACAATAATAATGAAAAGTGGCCAATTCTAGAAATTTAACCTTTGTAGGGAATGATCAATGAAAGATGGTTCACTTTCTTTTCCGAAGATGCGAACGTGTGCGTAGATGAATATGGTTCCACAGTATGATCGCCATTCCGCTAAACACATGAAATCAACACATTTAGTTTCAAAATACGATCACTGTACACTCGGTTGTGTTACCTTGTTCAATCAGAACCGTATCAGGAAGCTTCTACTAAGAGAGAAAAGTTAAATTTTATTGTGGGTGGAGCTGTTGTGATGGACTTGAAAAGAAAACACCTTTCAATCAGTGTATGCATAAAATTTCACAAATATTGCACACTGAAAAAACTATTAATCTGTTGATCACCATTACAGAATTTCTAATTTAAATTTTAAATATATTTCTTAATTATTTCGTTCAATAAAATAAAAATTTGTTCTTGAAAATAATGTTTTTCTTATTCTAAAGGTCCTGCAATGTCATATTCTCGTTGACCTGTTTTTGGGGCTTGCCTCCTACCCAATATGAGGCGTCATATAAATGAAAATAGAACAAATTCATATAAAACAGACCAAAACAAAGAATGAAACAAAATGTTAGCGTGAAATTATAAAAAATAAAAATTTGTGAATATGTGGGTTCAAATATGTACGCCTCTGTGTATACAATCTGCTTGTGTACGATTAAAAATCTTGGTGGCCAGCGATTGATATTGATGGATTGGCGGTTATGATGTAACTTTAAAAAAAATATGAAGCAAAGATGGTATGAGAGGTAGGAGAAACGGGATTACTACAAAACTTGCGTACCCACTTTGCCCACCACACATTCCACCACCATTCAAAAGATCCACCGGAATTGGAACCTTTATATCGAGAACTGGAAGGCGAGCAGTCTGACCTCTACACCACGAGTCTGTCACGTATTTGCCACGTATGCCACGTATTTTAATCCGCGCGCATACAATTCTCACTCGCTTCAACCGTTGACTACAGCAGCCTAAGCTCCAGCAATCAAGGGCTGCCAACAAGTCCCGCCGCGCTCTGACGCTGCGAGGGGCGGCAAATGGCGAGCGCAGCGTCGTGACCGCCGCCCGCCATGTTTTGCTGCGCCCTTTGAGGTCGCGTCGCGCGCTCTCGCACGCGCTAGACCCCGTGCAGTGCACCCTCGACCGCGTGTCCACTGCCATGAGCTGCCTGGAAGTAGTCAATCCCGCCGCACAATTTTGATTTAAAGCTCAAAAGCGCCATAAAATTATTATTGTTGCGGTAGACGCTGTAGTGTGGCTCAGGTTGTAGCATCCCAGCCTGGTGACTACAAGATCGCTGGCTAGATTATTGATCGCAACGAATGATAATTGATTTTTGTGCAATTGTGCGTTGAAAACTGTGCGCTTCTTAGAATCTAAATTGTCTAATAGAAATTGCGAAGTTTAACGGTCGAGCCTCCTCCTCATGTAATAAATGTCCGACCAATAGCTAGTAAACTTAAACTATTATGGCTTGTGGTGGACGATGCAGGACTTCGCCAAACGGATTCATATTCTTATTCTTCCCATGAAGGAATGGACACATGTGCCTGTTACGCCTTCACAATATTATTATTTTGTTTTTTCTTTATCGCACTTCTAAACGTCAGAAAAGGAAGTATTGTGATCTTGGTGCAATTAACTCATCTAGCTTGCTTTCCAGCTACTGGTTTTCCCGTTGGTAGTGTTGTATTGGTTAGTTTTCTTGCTTTGTTTCTGACCACTTTGGGAAGACGCGATTCAGACGCTCTGTATTGCAATTGATCCATTACAAGTTTAGTACAATTTTTTTATAAATTGTCACCTTTTCATTATAACGTGGTCTGTGGGGGAAAAGTCACCCTTGATAACGTTACAGACGTGCAACCTTTCCGCAAATTGTTGCAGATTTCAATGCTGGGTCATAAACATGTCAGCGTGCGAACTATTTAACGCGACATAGTCCATATGGGAGTCGAAGGCCCACTTGTGTACCCTTGATGACTGCACGACACAAAGCTTTACTGCTCGCCTGTACCCGTCAACACCGACATTGGACTGTTGATAACTGGGAATACGTTGCCTAGTCTTACGAGACTCGTTCACAATGTTCCGAGCTGGTGTACGAATATGGTGTCAACCTCATGAATCCATGCATCCTGCATGTTAACAGAGGACTGTTTAAGCAGAGGAGGGACTGCGATGGTATGGGAGTATGCAGTTGGAGTGATATGAGATCCCTGATACCTCTAGGTACGATTCTGACAGGTGACACATGTCTGATCAGCTGCACTCAAGAATGACCATTGTGCATCCCCACGGACGTGAGCAGGACAATGAGACAGCCCAAACGTCCAGAATTGCTACAGAGTGGCTCCAGGAACACTCTTCTGAATTTAAACACGTCTACTGGCCACCAAAAGCCCCTGACATGAACATTATTGAGCATATCTGGGATACCTTGCAAAGTGCTGTTAAGAGGAGATTTCTACCCGTTGTACTCTTACAGGTTTATGGACAGCCCTGCAGGATTTATGGTGTCGATTACCTTCAGCACTACAGATATTAGTCGAGTCGATGCCACGTCGTGCTGCGGCACTTCTGCAGTCCCACGGAGGCCCTTCTCATTAGGCAGGTGTATCAGTCTTCTCAGTAGTCTATTCGGTGTAATTCGCTAACCGTATTTCATATCTATAAGACGCTTACAGAGTGTTACACGTGTAAAAATACGGTTTCATTGTTTCGTGGAAAACAGTGAATTTTAGATTACCTTGTATTCATACTAACACGATTCTAAATATTTTTCTGAAGTGGGATATGTGACAGTTTATGACGCAATGCTTTTGTATGAATTAATAGTTACTTTTCATTATAATATTTTGAGTTGTTAGTTACCTATTCTAATATTTATTTGCATTATTTTTGTGTAAATTGTATCATTGTTTTCGGGGGGAGAGGATCAGAGGAAAATTAGTCATTTAATACTGTTTCGACGGAGTACGTTTTATGTATGGATGATGTGGAGACACCCGAAGGTTTGGACTTGAATTGTAACCTACCTTTCGTGTTTTCTGAGATTGAAAGAGGAAACTAAACAATAGATGAAACGTGTTGAGATGCTAGAAATTTGAAGTGGTGCGCAACGCTTTTGGAAAAAAGACGATTAAAATACTCTTCGAGAAAGATCGCGAACCCTTTCAGCTTTTGTATTTAATGCATCTCACTTTGATGTCCAGTGACAGCAATTTGAATTCTGGTGCACAAAGTTGGTTGGGAGTGAACGTTCACAAGTAAACCCAACAAGTGTCAAAGTAAATAACAAACATATCGAGATTAAAGGTTTTTGGAATCGGTGGATGGATTCAGTACACACGTCATATATTTGAAAATGTTTGCCATGGAAACGCATTTTGTGGAACGTTAATTCCATATTGAGATGAGATAGAATAAATTTTCTACTTTATTAGTTTGCCGATGAACGTACTGGCAATTGTTTGTTCTTGAAATTCGTTCTAAAATGACTTTAACTGCTACTTAAGGCTTTATTTTAATTGCGCCCCACGTTATTCCTCACGATAAGTAAAAGTTCGCGTGTTGTGGAAGAGTATGCACTGATCAGGCAGCAAATACAGAAATATTACGAAAGTGAAGTTCTTGAAAGTTTACTTCGAAATGCACTTTCGTTTTGCACACGGCAGTGTCCATACATGTTTTGTGTAAGTTTGCTCCAGTGAAAGTTGACACTTTCAACTTTTTAATCTTTAAAATTTTCATAACCTGTGTGAATTATGCACCCTCCCTCCGTCCTTGGGTGAAGAAAGAGTAGTTCTGTTTCACTTCGCTCGGGAGGGAGATGAGCAATGCCACTACGGAAAGCCCGACGTCTAACTTTCTTCTCTACGCACTCGCATTGGACTCAGGTCGCCTGACTATCTTTGTTGCAATGGCAACCAAGGACTCAGCCGCTCTGCCTACAGCTCACAGGTGATTACAACACCAACTTCACAGCCCGCCTTGCAGCTGTCTCAGGTCGCCTTCCGCTCTTCGTCGCTCGCCATCCGCGCCGAAATTGTCGTTGCCTGCTTCACCACATCAACACGTCTCTGTTGCCTCTTCACAGCCACAGCCACCGCCACCCCTCCCGCCGACATCATATGCTCAACGGCGGAGTCAACGCTCAAAGTCTAAACTGCCTTCATTATCATCGCTGTGTCCGTTTCCCCCTTTCGTCTTTTCCAACTTCACTGTACTCACCCACCACCCTCGTCCTCCGTACCACTCTGTACCACACCGTACCACACTGACCCACCCCGCGTCGCTCTCCCCGACGGAACTCTATCGTTTGAACATCACATACAACAAACTGCATTAAGGTGGCAAAGAAAACTTTGCGTTGCCTGACAACAATATAGTCTTGAAACATCTCTACTCCCATCGCCTTTGTCATGATCTTGAATTACTTGTTGTCTACCACCACTTTTACTACCACCGCGACCACATCCATCCACCGTCACCGCAGCGGTCCCAGTCGCATTTCCCTTGTCTGGAGTTGTATCTACTGCATTTCCGCGACACAGAAAATCGGTTAAGACGTCACGCGGTCGTTTCACGGGGAAAAACGTCCGCAAAGAGTACGGTTCGGTGTTGTGTCGCGACGAGAGAGAAAAGATAAGAGAGAGAGGGAGATGAAAAAAAAACAGGAATGAAAAAAGGTCCCACGGATGAAGATAAGTTTTATGGTTTAAAGGGAAGACAATATAGAAACATTCGGTATAGATGATCGTAATTATTGTGTGAAAAGTGTTTATGTTATCTATATGTGTCAAAAGTTTGATAATATTTTTTTTTCTTTTTCAGTGTTTCCAAGGTGTCTATTGGCTTAAACTTCAAAGAAGAGAAGGAGCGAGCAGCTCGTTAGGTCTCCAGAAAAGAAAGGTAAGGAGGCATCACTAACCGTTTTCTTTATATTATATTTCTTATCACGTTTGTCATTTTATAAGATTGATATTAAACATTCATCTCTCATTTGCACATTTGCACGCTAGATCCACAATACTTGTGGACTGGAGCATTCACTAAAATCTATTCGAATATAAGACGACCAGATTTTGACGGAAGGGAATTGGAACTTCTTTAGGAGCGAAGAGATTTGAGAGACCTCTGTTGCAAGATGACGAGCGATGACGTCATTAGAAACCCTTAGTAAAAGCGAAGCGTCGCCTCGCTTTGAAGAAACATCGACTGCAGCGATTGCGTTCCGTCGGAGAATTAGAACGGAGTAGGGAGGTACGGACAACAACTACTCTGCAAAACGGCTAAAGGCCCTGAAGGGGCGCATTTCGGCACAGGAACATTGCTCGTAGGAAGCATTGCAAAATTTTACCTCGCTACTAAATTAAGATATTTTTTTCTTCAAATTAATAATTGTTAAGCTATGATCGGAAGAAGGAATGGTGTGCCATTCGTTTATACAACTTTTTCGTATTCATAGTTTTATTATATTATGACGACTATCAAATACAAAATCAATAATATTATGCCAAATGATACTATATCTCGTAAAAAATTGTTTGTAATCTCCAATCCAAAAAGAGTCAAAGAAAAGAAAATCACTAGATTACATCACAGTAACTTTATTTATCTTTAAAAATGTTTTAATTATGTATACTTCGTATTTTAGATAATAAATTAAAAATTAAATACAATGTTATGTATACTACCATTTATTGAATTATAATCATTTCATATTATCGTACAATAGTTTCTAATGCGTGCAATTCGTACAAGGAAATATGAAACAGATACCACAACCGAAATGAAAATTGTTTTGATATTCTCAACAATGTAAGACGATTCGACTGTTGATAATGCAACGGGTGATAAAACAATACGCAGATTATTACGCAACCAAATCGTTCGGCGATGTTGACGAGGGTAATCATTCTCACCAAATTTGAAGGAACTCAAATTTTTCTGTGTTTTTATATTATAATAAAAAAACGAAAAAAAAACATTTTCGCGGGGATTTCTGATTCAGCTCTCCCTTGATTCTTGTAACTCTTCATTTCCACCTTGAAACGATGGAAAACATTCCACGGAGTTTGAACCCGAAACTTTGTATCTTCCTGAACCGGGCATAAAAGAACGGGATCATCGTTCTAAAAGATGCATAACAAAACGTGAGTTTTCCCTTAGATTACTGTTAGGATGAGGAAAACAGAAAGGAAAAATTGGTGGCAAACAAACAGTTCTTTTGTGTCACGGTTGCTAAACCAGCCCTAACAAATGATAAAATCTGAGGGGCTTTATCAACCCAAAATAGAATGTCGATAACTGTTAACAATTATATTTTTCAATTTGTTCACTTAATTTGTAGAATGTAAACAATTTAAACGTATTTGTTGTATTTGCTTTTTGAATACTCCATTGAGAAATTCCGATGATCTACTCTGCATTAAACTTATAACTTCATATTGACTTTGTATCCAAATAAATATTGCTGTATTAATGAATTTAATCAATTTATATATAAAATATCGTCTTCTGATATTATTGGATATTCATTTATGCCATATCTGGAGGATTTTGATTCTCCACGAAGCTAAATATATTCGGTTTCTTTTAACCCAGGTCTATCTCTCGTGTCACATTCCTTCGTGCCACCTCTTTTGGGATAAGTATTTACGCTTAGTCTATTATCGTTGACTATATCTACTTACGAGCGAATTTCTACTCCTCTGCAATTTCTATGAGCCAGAACTTTGAATACGTTGTCGCTCCCCACCTGGACAAAGCACATCGCAGCGCGTCTAATATTCCGGAATCCGTGGCACGCGGTCCACCGCGTCTCGAACTAATGACCAATAGTTGCACTCGGAGCCAGACGCTGCGCTTTGCCACTCGTCGCCGCGCCGCTCCGCACCTCGCCGCCCTGCGGGGCCGTTGCGTCGCCCCCCTGCGCCAGCGCGACCGAGCGCCGGCGCTGCACGGCGCGGCGCTGCTGGGCGCGGTGCTGCTGGGCGCGGGCGCGGGCGCGGGCGCAGGTGCGGGCGCAGGTGCGGGCGGGAATCCCATGTTGCCACGAGCGCGCTTTGCATCGGGGCTTTGTGCGGACCCGACGAGCTGCCGCCGCTCCACTGCACCACATCCCTTTCCCTCCACCCCCACTTCCCTGACCCTTTCCCGATCCCTTCCGCTCCCCTCTCTCTTCCTACCCACCCTTCCTGTCACCTTTCCTCCCTCCTGTCTCTCTTCATTTCCTCTCTCTCCGTTTCTTTCTCCTCCCCGATCTCCATCCCCACCTTCCTCTTTCCCACCCTTCGTCCCTCCCTCACTCTATCGCCTTCCCTCCCGCTCAACTTTGACCTGGCGGTTGCCCCCTGACGCGGGCGGAGCTTGCGGTGAAACTAGTCGACCGGCGGCACGGCGGCAGAGAACGGGCGGGGCGAGTCGGGAAGGGAAGTGCAGCAGTGCTTGATGCGGACTTCCAAAGGGTATTAAATACTAGCAGTCCGAGCAAAAGGAAGTATTACGGTGATGGTTATTCATTTGATGAGAGTGAAGGAAGAAACAGAAATACAATGATGTGATTTTAAAATATAAAAGGTGCCTGGGGCGATGTTAATGCTTGTCAATTTTTTTGTCCCATTTTATTACATAATGTATGGTTGTGTCACTCCATTTTTATGTTTATATTGAAAATAAAAGTAATCATTTTCTGGCTTCTAATTGTTATCAGATACTGTACTGAAGTTTAAAGTTATTTAAGAGATTGTGTTATGTGAAAGATACACAAAAATTAATACTTCTACAGAATATTAGACACGCAATATGACATAAAGAAGTCTACAGTGCAAAATGACAAATACTGTATAATTTAGAATATCGCAATGCAAATAGTGTAAGAACTACCGAACGTTTCGTTTTAACGTACGTATTCTTAATAACAGAATAAAAGATGCCAAAGAAAGAACCGAAATGATTACGTTTTGTTCGTCGAAACTTTACTTAATTCTTTTATTCATATATTTCGGTTATAAATATATAATTGACATGCATTCCCCATGCATTTGTCATCATGTCAATACTTATTTAAAATTTTGCTCTTGTATTTTGTTATTTGCAATTTTGTATTAAATATTTTGGTAAAATGATGACAGCTTTGGAAGAATAGTTTTTTAATTGTATAGAATTCCTCTTTTAAATATTTTTAAACATTATTTTTTATGAAAAAAATGTTTAAAAATATTTAAGTTAGTAGATGGAAGTATGTTTCGTTTTTTTAATTCAAGGTCTCGTGTCTCTGAATGAAGTTGATAATAATTACCGTATGTTACTCTACGTTATTAGAATTTTGAAACAATTTTAACCGCGACAAGCAGCCAGTAATTTCGTTGAAACATCAAATTCAGTGCAAGGCAAACGCCCTTAGAGTAATTGCAACCATGGGTTCAAGACACCGCACCGTTTTAGACTGACGTGTTAATACTTCTATCGCTTCTCGAGATTTCCAAGCAGAAATGCACAAATTTTCCAAGCAGAAACCCTCACATTGAACTCTACAAGTTGATCAATTCACTTCTTCCTCTCAGTAGAATGGACGCGCTGCATGCGGTAAGAGACAAAAAATATATCTTGTGTTGTCAGTCCTGACATCCAGGCGCCCTGTGTCTCCCGGAGCCTCAAGGTAACCAGAAGCAGCGCCGTCGCCGGGGGCTTGGGTTCACAGCGTGACGGCGCTAAGCCAGGGCGCGGGCACAGGGCGGGGCGGGGCGCGTCGTCTGCTGGCGTCGCGACGCCGGGTTCGGGGCGCGGGGCGTCGGGCTGACGCGGCGCCTCGCGGCTTACGGCGCCATCCGTCATGGCCGTCGACGCAGCCCGTCCGCGCAACTGGCGCACCGGCGCGGCCGCTGCGTCGTCAGTCTTCCTCTTGCTCTTCCGCTTGGTCTTGCCCCTGCTCTTCTTGGCGCGCGACCGCCACCGCCGTCACACCGGCGCCACGCGGCGCTTACAGGACATACCAGGATATTCTCTGGCCAGGGTTAGTCGAAATAAACAGACAGTAGTTTAATTCCGCCTTTTGAAAGGTTTGGCATAGTGAACGTTTAATAAAAAATGAATACCCGACAGGAAATAACATTGATTTATCATTGAGGTACCTTATACAAATCCAAAGATAAAAATCTAACAAACAAGAAGGGGTATATTACGAAATATAAAAAGAAAAACAGTTATTTTTGCAAAATGACGATGGAAATCTGTGAATCAACTGCGCTCGAGCTGATTTTTAAGGGTAAATGTACATAGACGTTAAAATAAAATTGAAGGGTGCACGACAATAAATACTACTAGAGTTATCAGAAACGAGCACGGAGTACAAAGTTATTAACTAATGGAATATTATGCAAAACCATCAAAATTTTTTTATAGGACATTGGGATCTGATGAGTATCACCACATCATGGAAAAACGAACCGCTTAGAAGTCGTGTCATATTTTGAGGCGGAAATTGTCGCGCAGTGTTTAAGGTTGATCACTTGGGAAACTAATAATTGCTTACTGGCCATTTAATAAATGACTGCTGGGGAGAAAAAAATACCGGAGATTTGGTTAAACCATATTTAGAAAACACAAAACTACTGCAACTTGTGTAAATCAGCGTTCACTCATGAAGTAGCTCTTATTGTCCTGTCACCTGAATTTCAAGATAAAACATATGACTGTGGTATGAAAATATGCTGAAGAAGAAGAAAACTGAAGACACAATCTTGAAAGTGAATGATCTAAGAATGTGAAATGATATAAGAATGTGAAATAAACGTTATGTACTTTGTGACTGGTATACACACTATATCAGCAGTTCTTCAAAAGTTAAAAACTTCTCTACATCATACACTACGAAAAAGTGACTGTTTTGCACTGTTAATAAGAGGCTCTCGTCACGAAGTCTCGTAAATATGCTACTGATGAATAGGGAATTAACATCTCCAATAAATCCATCAATCATAATTAATATGAAAATTTATTTTTGGGGGGGATTATGCTGGATGCTATTATGTAGGAGAAACCAGCAGACCGCACATGCAACCCGCAGCACACGGTGTGTTGGAACGCTCATTTCTTTCGTGGAAACGGTATGTTCTGAGCTCTTAACATCCGGATTTCGCTACTTTAAGTAGCCCCGAGTAATATGTCTTTGGCCGTCACCTGTAAAAGGATCCGTTTTTGAATTTTAAATTACGTAGGAGGGTTGGGGAGTTTGGAAAGTTAGCTCATCTGGGAATGCGATTCTGTACAAAGTGTGGTCAGAAACGTGCAGAATCTTGAAAGAGAAGTAAATAAAATTGACTATTTGATATCCTGTGCAACTTAATTACATGAGTATTGGTTTATTTATTTGACAATAAATGGTTAGCAACATTAGAATGTTT